CAAAGTCTAACTACTTACGTAATTGCCTTGTGGGACAAGCGTCGGTATCTATCGCGAGGCTAGCAACCTCAGAATCATGCTATGCGCACACTGTCGAAATTCTGAAGGAAAGGTTCGGGGACCAGAAAAAAATAGAACAGTACCATTTGTCAGCTTTAAGAAATCTTCCTCACGTCATGTGGGAAACGATGTAAGAGGTCTTTGGAAGTTGTCTTTGGAAGCAGACACGCCTCAAGCATGTGTGACCCAAACTATAAGAGGCAAGAAGGTCCACTAACATTTGGCAGCATGACAGCATTTGTGTTAGCCAACGCTTTACTCAGCACAATGAGTCATCATGCATTCCATTGAAGATGGACAACAGAGTATTCCTTCATACATTCCGTGCTTAGGCAGGTCACGACGATAACTGCCGATACATGAGGGGTACCTTGGACGGTGGCAGCCAACGATCATTTATCAAGGAAGATCTCGCCACTAAGCTACAACTCAAGATCATTCGGGAGACCAGAATCGCATTCTATGTTTTTGCAAGAACGACAACTTCCAGAGCTGAAAAGTTGAAGGTTGTGGAAGCGCCTGTTCTTAGCCAGCATAACTCGCAGGTCTGCATTGTACAAGACATCACAGTGCCGTTTATTTGCCGCGACGTTTATATACCATCTGACGACGACAAATTCGTGAGACAGCTGCAAGTTAAAGGAAAATTCATCGCGTATGAACGATGCTTCCTTGGAGCAGATGCAGAATCCGGGCTGTCTTTACTCATCGGGTCAGATGCAGAATCCGGGCTATCTTTGCTTATCGGGTCAGATAACCTTTGGAAGATATTCACTGGCGAATTCTTGCACAATATAGATATCCATGGTTTGGTCCCTATGAATCCACTATATGGATGGACTTTTTAAGGACCAACCCAGCAAGCGCTATCCACCGCAAGCAATGCGAATTTGATCATCTTTGCACTATATATGAGTACCCAGCCTGACGACGAAGTGACATCACAGAGATTACAGTGTTCTGGGAAACTTGGGGCAAGTGGTATCATGGACCAAAGCGACTCTGCACAATTCAAGACTCGATGCATTCCGCCAGACAACAGGTGAATCCTATGAGAGGTGTACAGTTGAGCCACCACAGAATGAAGATAACTGTGGAAAACCCCTCGCTCGACTACCGAAGCAAGGTAAAAGGTTTTTTTTTAATGGACAGCTCCAGCAATAGGACGCCGTCATAACACAATATCCTTTGCTCAGGCACATGGAGTTGGCACCTAAAGATGTTCTTGAGAGCCGGCATGTCTACGGTATACCCCACAGAAAAGTGGCACCAGAATCTCTGACTGCAATGCTAAGTGCACTTGATGCGTCGTCATACACCAGCTTCACCATCTTTCAATGACTTTTTGGACAAAAGAGATAGGTGCAAGGGTCCTAGATCGCTAGATCAGCCAAGGTCGACATGGCTTACTAAACCAGACGAATATCATACTTCCGACAAAAGGTATCGTCTGCAACTGCTTAATCATCGGTGGACACAATGGAGAAAGGAGTACCTGCTGCAGCTGCTAGACCGTCATCAGTATCGATCGCGTATTAGCAAGGACCTAAATGTGGATGGCATCTTCCTTGTCGAGCAGCCATTTGTTTCAAGGTACATGTGGCCCCTTCACCGTGTGGTGAAAGTTGTTCCCGGTCAAGACGGGGCAATACAGGCCTATCGAATCAAGACACCATAAGGCAACATTGTGCTGCGACCAGTACAGAAGTTTTATAAGCGACAGGTAGCCCGCAACTCCTTGGGACACGAGGATGACGAAAAAGAATAAACGTGCTCAGCCTAGGTCTGCGAGAGAAGATGAGGAAGTTAAGGATGCAAAGGGCAAAGATGGCTTTTTGTCTGATTTCTCGCGTTAGCGCATAGTTTTCTTACAGGGACTATTCAAGGTTAGGCGACTGGTCAAAAGATTGGGCATCTGATTTCGGACGGGATGAGGTCCCGGGAATCGCCAGTCGAGAACTTGTTGGCCTTGTCTTGTGGCTACGCGAATGTTATGGTCGGCAAGAAAAACAGTGTGTCAACTGTGTTAAAAGAAGCTCAACCAGCTTTGATTGGTATCAGTTGCCTGTGCCACATGATAAACTGGGCCGTGCAAAAGTAACATCATGACTTCCTGTAGAGGTTGATGAAGCTTTGATTGACATTTTTTTTTACCTTGAAAAAGTGCAAAACAGAAGGATCGACTAGAAGATTTCCAGCAAATGCGTGACATCGAGGTGAGGAAGATGCTGAAGCATTCGCCGACCCGTTGGCTTTCGTTGGGAAAGTGTTTAAAGAGACTTCTAGACCAGTAGAAGCCACTTCTCAATTGTTGTTGTTGTTTTTTTTTTGTGTGTGTGTGTGTGTGTGTGTGTGTGTGTGTGTGTGTGTGTGTGTGTGTGTGTGTGTGTGTGTGTGTGAGAGAGAGAGAAAGAGAGAGAGAGGGGGGGGGGTGAAAAAGTGCAAGAAGCAGAGCCTGTTTTTGAGTCATACCAGATTCCAAAGACATCTCAACAAACTTCGAAGTACTACTCCAATGTCTACTAAAGGCCTCAATAATGATACCAATGTAGTTTCACTGAAAAGAAAAAGTGTTCATCTTGCACCTGAAGTCAAAAAGATGTAGCTTCAGACCACAGAATCCAGACAAAGCAACCTTGTCTGTTTTTTTGCCATTTGGGCCAAATAGGGCATGCTGTCTATCCTTATATAGTGCCCATTTTTGAGAAAACAAACTATATTCTTCAAGAACATATTCAGGTACTGAGAGGCCTTTTGAACCGCATACTCAAGGAATTCCCCACCAGGTTTGTGCGGTCTAGTGTCCTGAAAGAATGCGATTTATTACTTGAAGTTTGCTATGCACTTGCAGAGAGCAGATGAAGACCTTGTCATTGGCAGCATGACCCGTTCTGTTTGTTGAGACACTGAACTCAAGTGAAAGAGAACAATTATTTCCTGCTGTATGTCTATATTTAACAGCATCTTGTGATTATATTCGTCACAAGTATACATTATAAGACATCAACCCTAATATGGCTAAGATTGCCCAGCTACACTCATTATAAATGGCTTCATTCTGCTTTTTACGTCATTTCATCACTGCATTCCCTGGTCTTTTGCCACAGCAAAGCGGGAAACCAAGAGAGAAGGCAATTGATGAATTTGAGGTTGAGTGTAAGAGCTTGCAAGCATATAATGTTCCAGCAGACATTATGAATGAGCCCAGGTGTGACTTGCAATGGGCACGTTTGAGGTATTTTCGAAGTATTGATGGCTCACTCAGGTTTCACAGAATTCCAGTTGTTATACTCGGCATTTTCTTTATTCTGCGCAGTAATGCTGAATGCGAATGAATATTCAGTACCATAAAAAAAACTCGCACGGAGTTTCGCTCATCTGTGAGTCAAGAAACCCGAGAGAGCCTGATAGTGAAAGGGCACCAGAATGCAACCTGCTTTGAGCCAAGTTACACGAAAGACTTTCTCAAGCGAGCAAAGTCTGCAACAGCAAAATCATTGCAAAAATAAATTGTTGCCCAATGAAGTTGTTGCTGATTACTCTCAGGACGATATGACTTATGGCGGCAAAACATGATTATGCTTGTCGCTGAAGGCAAATCCATCACAGCTACAAATGTAAAAAAAAAGTCGTAACCCCCTACCCTTTCCCAGCTCGGGGATTTTACAAATTTCTTTCCTTTGCTGCCAAGTTGGCAGGTACGCCATTGCCGGTCTCCCAGCCTTCTTCGTTGTCTTCAGCCTAGCTAGGTTGGGCCTGACACGTCATTGACTTCCTTGATGACAGGTCAACTCTGCTGACTGGTGTAGGCTGGTACCGTCTTGGTGCGAAGGAAGAGAGCTGTAGGTCCACCAGGAACTGCTCTGAGAGGGTTTCGCAAGTCCGGGCAGGCTCACCCGGGTCTTCCGAGCTCGAAGGCCACTTTTCGAGTCCCCTTGCACTGACAGCCTTTAGAACCGGGTGACTGCTACCGTCGCTTTAGCGGCACTGGTTGTTCTGGTCTTCGCAGTTCGAGGCCCCACAGCACAGTCTTCGCAGCTTGAAGCCCACAGCACAGTGACAGCCCATCCAGAAACAGACGTTGTTGGGCTAGTCAGTTCCATGTCCATTCAGAAGCCATGGTTGTAGCTATTTCGCACAAAGAAATAACAAGGGAAGGTTTAAGGGAAGCGCAAACCTTTTGTGCTCTCCTTAACCCTTCCCTTGTTATTTCTTTGCATGAAGTAGCTACAAATGGCTTCTGAATGGACAGCTCATCCACTGGTATTTTCCATCACTGGTATTTTCTATCACGGTGCCACGAGCCTTTTTGTGTCCGATCTCGTACATGAACGTGACGCGTCTGCGCACTATTGAGCCTCGTGCCCTTGTGACATTCCGGTTCGCTCCTTCCCCCCTCCCCGTTCGACCACTGCCATGCACAGTTCTTTGTTTTTGTTTCTACCTGGGCACAACATCCAGTCTTTTTGAGTCATCTGAGCACCACAGCAAGATTCACAAACTACGGGAGACATCGCAGCCCACAGAGAGCAAAGCTTCCAAACTACACATGCCAACCAACAGTCGCTTCCTGCTAATACGAAACCTTAAAGACCAACCATATGCACGCGATTTTAGTGCGACGGCGACAGGATTTGCTGTCGCAAAAGGCCATCTGTCGCAGGCATGTCGCAGGTTTCTAGAAAAATAGAAACAAATTTTTTGTCAACCCGAAAAGACTGTGACAATATAAGTAATGTGGTGCTTAGGGGAGTGGCTGGTGTTGGTCGAGAAACTTGCACTGTGCACCTTGCCACAAAAGTGTGGCAAGGTGCACAGATGCTTGTCACTGCCTGTAGCAATAGGTGGAGGGCTGTGTGCTTTGAATTTGTTAACAAACGTTGATGTTTCTTTCGAAATCCCTCACTTGCGGAATGCTTGCCTTTAAAACGAAATCGCAGGAAGGGCGAATGGGCAACGAGGACATGGAGAAGGAGCAGAATGAGCTGATCATGGCCGCTACACAGCTAATGAATGCCCTGAACCAGCGCATTCAAATGCAGAAGGTGGCTGAAGAGCACATGCGCCGCGTGCAGCTGGAAATGGAGCAGGCACGCCAGCGAAAGGAGGAAGAGGAACGACGCCAGCGGGAGGACGAGGAGAACCGGCAGAGGTAGCTCTCCGAGAAATTGCATACCGTATTTACTCACATGATGGGCACACCCCTAGTTTTGTCTTGAGAAATAGGATTTTGTTTTAGTGCATAATAGGGGCGCCCCGAACTTGGCTGCGATCAGTAATTCTGTACCATATTTGCACAAATGAGGTAAAAAAAGAAGGCTGCAGCAGGTGCTCCGCGGGTCGCCGAGTGAGTGGGAAGGGCGCTTGGTGGGCATCTAAGTAACCGTTAAGTAACCTTGCAGCTGCTAGCCTGCCACGCACGCTCTGCATGGAAAGCGATTGCGTCCTCGTCAAGTGTGCTTGTAGTTTCCTGTTGGAAAAGGGTTGTTATAGCGTTTGCTACCTCGTCTGAAAATTTAAAAGCTATTTGGCTTTTATACGCAACTGATATGTGAGAAGCCAATCAATGAACTGGCAGTGAGAGGAAAAATACAGGAATTCGGAGTTTTGCTTCGGAATAGAGATAACTGACGTTAGCATTGACACAATGAACGATAATCTTATTAGTATTATCAAAGAGTGTGCAATTGAAGTTCGAGGTTCAGTCACTAGATGGGAAACTGGCAAGCTATGTCAGGAGACGAAAAATCTTACTAAGAGACAACAAACGATGAAAGCCTCAAATGCAACTGACAAAATAGAGATAGTGGAGCTTTCCAAGTTAATCAATAGGTGTAAAGTTGCTGACATCGGAAGGTATAACATGGAAAGAATTGAGCAGGCTGTAAAAAGTGGCAGAAGCCTAAAAGCTGCGAAGGCATACTTGTGCATAGGCTGTGGCTTCTCGACGTGGCGAGCGCCACGCTCTTGGAGTGAACGGACGCAGCATACGCGGTCAGTACAATACAAAACAACATACATATATTTATTTAACTAATTTAAAACGACGATATCGTCCGCCAAATTGACACATAACTCGTTAGTGATATGCTAGGAGATTGTTACACAATAACACAACAAACACACATGAGAGCACACAGAAGGCGGCGTCGCCAACGCTTCACCTACCACGTGGGTCTACCGCAGGCGGCCCGCGGTGCCGTCCACGGCAGACCCACCGCGAGAGACAACCGTTCGCGGCAATCGCCACACGCAGAAGAGGCTCGCTTAACTCTCGCCCGCCACCCAGGGCCTGCCTTCCGCCAGGGGTCACTGCCGGCGCTACCACACCAACAGCGGTGCTCAACGCGAACACAACACCATCTATCGCCCGGCGGTCGTCACCCGAAATGCGGTCTTGGGGCGAGACACGTGCGCCACACGGCGCAGACAACTTTACAGAAGGGTGTCAGCACTCCCACAAGGCAAAATTTGGATGTATGCATTGAGAAACGAGTAAGGCAATGTCATAACCAATATGGATAGGATAGACGAGATGACCGAGGAGTTCTACAGAGAGCTGAACAGAAATCAAAAGAACCAGGATGGTATTGAGAGAAGCTATAATAGTCCAGGAGAATTTGACATCCTACCAGTAACGACAGGGCAAGTAAATAAAGCCCTAGAAGAAATGCAAAGAAGTGAAGCCGCTGGTGAGGATAAAGTAACAAGGGACCTCCTGAAAGATGGCAGAGAAATTGTGTTAGAAAAATTAGCCACCTTATATACATAGTGTCTTTTAATGGGAAGGGTACCAGAATCTTGGAAGAACGCTGACACCATCTTAATCCATAAGAAAGGAGACGTCAAGGACTTGAATAATTACAGGCTGATCAGCTTACTATTTGTTCTCCACAAACTACAAAAATTTTAGCTAATAAAATTAAGACGATATTAGAGTTCAATCAGCCAAAGGACCAAGCAGGATTTATGTACCGGCTACTCCACAATAGACCATATTCGTACTATCAATCAGGTAATAGAGAAATGCGCTGAATACAACCAACCCCTATACATAGATTTCATCGATTATGAGGAGGTATTTGACTCACTCGAGACATCAGCAGTAATGCAGGCCCTCATAAACATACTGGAATAAATCTACAAAGGATCCACATCCACCATAGTTCTCCATAAAGAAAGTGGAAGAATACCAATGAAGAAGAGTGTAAAGCAGGAAGACACGATCTCTCCAATTCTATTCACCACGTGTTTACAGGAGGTATTCAGGACCGTGGACTGCGAAGAGTTAGGAATAAGAGTTAATGTAGAGTACCTTAGTAACATGCGATTTGCTGATGACATTTCCTTGATGAGAAACTCAGGGGACGAATTACACCTTATGTTGACTGAACTGGACACTGAAAGTATAAAAGTAGGTCTTAAAATTAATCTGCAGGAAACGAAAGTAATGTACAACAACCCCGAGAAAAAACAGTGCTTTGAGATAGGTAATATTGCACTTGAAGTTGTAAAAGACTATGTCGACTTAGGACAGGTAATAACCTCGGAGCCGAACCACGAGACTGAAGTAACTAGAAGAATAAGAATGGGGTGGAGCACATTTGGCAAGCACTCTCAAATTATGACTCGTAGATTGCCACTATCCCTCAAGAGGAAGGTATATATAGTAGCTGCATCTTGCCAGTACTTACCTATGGAGCAGAAACCTGGAGGCTTTCAAAGAGGGTTCAGCTTAAATTGAGGACGACTCAGCGAGCAATGGACAGAAAAATGGTAGGTGTAACCTTAAAAGACAAGAAGAGAGCAGAGTGGATTAGGGAACAAATGGGGGTTAAGGATAACATAGTTGAAATCAAGAAGAGGAAATGGACATAGGCCGGGCATGTAGTGCGTATATAGGATAACCGCTAGATTCCCAGAGAAGGCAAACAGGTTAGGGGGAGACAGAAGGTTAGGTGGGCAGATGAGATTAAGAAGATTCTGGGTATAAATTGGCAACGGAAAGCACAAGACCAGGTTGATTGGCGGATCATGGGAGAAGCCTCTGCCCTGCAGTGGGCGTAGTCAGGCCGATGATGATGATGCTAATTCAGCTTTTTAATGTTAGATTTTTTTCTTTGCTGGCACTTCGCAGGTTTGCACAAGCTCAGCGAACTTTTGTCGCCATTGATTTCCAGGACGTGAACCTGAACATTGTATCACACACACTGCTCTTGGGGAATGCAAAATTTTCGATGCTTTATCTTCATGTTGTTTAGTACAAACTTCCCGCGGCAACATGCCGAACCTTTGGCTAGGCCTTAGTACTGTTGGTTGCTTTTCAGTGGGATTCACGTCGTGAAAGTTGCAGTTTGGCACAGAATCAACGTAACTCTTTGTGATGGTTTTATTTTTAAAAAAATATGAAGGCTTGAGTAGCGCTTGAAACACTTGATTGGTGGTTCGCGATTCGATTGCAATGTCTTAGATATAGTGTGCGAGCCCGTAAAGTCGAACAATTGGTGTCGTTCAGTGACAATTGGCAAATTTCTGTGGTGGAGCTTTGTTTCTGTAACTTTTTTTTTCACATTCATTTCCTTGGCGAAGCGGGTGTTTCAATGTTAATTTTTTTGGAAATTTGAGGGCACACTGCATCGCTTGCCTCAATTCTTGGACTCTTGAGACTGCATTCTCAACACATTTAGTGATAGTGCAGCCTATGAAGTCTGTTTTGGCTGTATTGTGGATATTCACACAGCTTATTCACGACTTGACGTATACATCATCGGTGATCTATGCTGTAGACAGAAATAAGTTTCTGAAATTTATCCTGCTTAATAGGCACACCCCTAACTTGAAGATGGATTTTCCGGAAAGTGTGCCTATTATGAGAGTAAACACAGTATCATGGCAAGTTTCACATCAGCAACCCTGGCCTGCAAAATTATAGTAGGCTAGTGTGGTAGCATCAATATTTCGGTTATGCTGTGCAAATTTGCCGACGTCCCCCTACCCACTATTCCAGATTAAGCGTGAGAGTAAAAATAATAGTTTAGGGGTTTCCTCAAAATCATAAAATCACTAAGAACCCTGCCCAGTTAAATAAAAAATTATAATTGGAACCAATTGGAAAATTTCCACTTGGTTTCAATTGGTTCCATTTGTGAATTAGTGCATCATTGGGACATTCGGAACAGTTGGGTTAAATGGGGCAGTAATGTATGACCAGTTGGGCCGATTGAGTTTAGTCCTATTAGACCAATCGGTTGAATTTTCAGTCAAATGGTTTCAGGGTGTCTAGCAACCGGGAAAGGCGGGAATTGTCAGGGAAATGATACACGCCGGGAAAAATCAGGGAATCGTCAGGGAATGTTGCCAAAGAGAGAACCCAGTCAGGGAAAATGACTTGCCACTTGTTCCCCGGCGCGGAGCGCGCACTCAGCTCACCGTTATGGTGGCTAGAATTGGGAGGTGACGCCAACGGGAGCTCGGAGCCGCTCCTTCGTTTCGAGCAGCGCGGCGGTGGCGCTGTCGGCGGAATGGTGATGCTAGTTACGCGCGCGCGCCTTGAGCGCGCGCACCTTTCAAAGATGCTGTTGCTGAAGCATGATTCAGATAAATTGGCGATTCAGATAACTCACTGTGACGATGGCTGATAGAACGCCATTTCAAGCATTAAAAGAAATTGGCTGCCGCTGCAAGACTTCTGTGACGTTGAATCTGCACAAATTAAAGCTTTCGTTCGCATATCCCTGCAGTGTTTTGGAGTGCAAGGCGACGGCGTTTTTTTAAAAAAAAATATTACCAAAGTTCTGGGCGAGGAAAATAAAACAAATATTTATTGCACATCATATTATTAGGAAGATCTATTGCACATCATGGAATACAGGGTAAAATAAAATAAAATGAAAAAATACGCACATTTACATACGCTCGGGAGTAGTTAAAAACATTGAAACATTGCACACAGACAGCGCATCGCTTGGCACTAAGTAATAAGAGGCATACAATCACTTTCCACTCGGCAAAAAAAAAATCAATAGAGCTTAAAGTTACAATATCAAACTCAGAGCACGCGTCTAAGCTTCAGCAATTTCATTCTTTCCTGCTTAGCGTTTCGTTTGCTGTTCTGGGCTTTCACATGAAAGTGGAGCCTAGTAAGAACATAAA